TAATGTATTTTGAGTATATTTATATTAATATTTTTTAACCGTAAAATAAAAAAAAAAAAGAAGGGGAGGGAGGATAATTAATTTATTTATTCCAAAATATTACCTTGTACCGCCTCCTGAATCCCACGTCAGTTCGATAATTGTTCCCTCTCCTCAATTACAAACGGACGAAGCCCCTGCCACATTTCGTTTCCAGATTTTAAATTTCGGAACAACTGCATGAAACCCACACCTTCCTCTTCGTCTGTCTTCAGCCATAGAGAATGTCTCGTTGCCTCTCCTTATCGAAGAAAGGAACGCTGAACACACAGTCCTCTGGAATTTTCGGCTTTCTCTGTTCCGAAACCCTCCCTTGCCGCTCCTAGTAGTTTGTCTCCCTTCCTCTTCGTGACCGCAAGCTTCAAGAGACAGTCTTGATTGATGTTAGGGAGGAAAGCAACGTCAGAACCACAACCTCTTATCTTCTTCCCCGTTTGAAGAGCCACTGAAGCCCCTTTCTTCTCATGAAGTGCTTCAACTTCCACTGTTCATGCAAGCTGCTCAAACCTCCTTGTTATTATTCTGCCTACTGAAGCCATTGCTTGTTGAACCATTGGGAAAGCAATGAAGGAATTGTGGCATATAGAGACCACTGATCTTTCCCGGCTTACGCCTGAGCTTGCACCACTCGATCTTTCACGCCTCGCACGTGAGCCTGCTGCACCGCTCGATCCCTCCTGCCTCACACCCGAGCCGCTTCCCTCTGCGCTGAAACCTTTCGTCTGTATATCTCCCCTTCCTGCACCGAAGCCCTAATCAAACCGGAATCGTTTTTTTCGTCGATCCCTATGAAGAATTCTTCTTATCTCTACATCAAGCCCTCCCTCCCTTCCTCTTTGAACCTCAAAGCCACACTCTCTGATCCTCCTGATCCCGCACCATTCCTTCTTATTCGAGCTCGAGCCCGACCCGAGCCACTAACACCCGAACCGAAGCCCTTCCATATTTACTTTATTGTTCATACTTTATAATTTATATTGTAAAAAAAAAGAAAATAAAAGAAAAAGAAAATCAGTATTGTATTTATGTTATTTATTTATTTTATTTCGTTTGTCGGTATCACTTTAACACTACCGGTCGTCGTCACTGATCTTGTTCGAAAAAGTATAGTGAAATGGGCAACAAGGTAATATTTAAAATATTCATTCAAGGAAGTTTGAGCACCCGTGATTGTGGATTAAGTAACGTTCACAGAAATTGTGGTTTAAAAATTGTTTTATAAAGTTAATGAATTTAAATACTCGTCATGGGAAACACAAGTACCTGTTCTTGAAAATTAAGTGTTGTTCAGGGAAAATAAAGTACCGCTCGAGAAATGCTTATTTATGATGTGACCCTTTTTGCAGATACATTGAAAGCCTGTAGCATTTCTTAAGACTGTAGACTAAATACATTTTTTTTCTCCCCAACCGCAGTATCTCACGACACTGACTAATGGGTCATTTAAGACAGTTGAGAAAGTCGGTATTCTCCCGGTACCCCTTAGCAGGGGTTGACATTGGGAAATTGCCGAAATTTTGAGTGATTAGATTTGTAAATAAATTTAAAGTTTTGTTCTTTTTGAACTTAAAAATAATCTAAAATGTTGATCACTTGAATTTTAAAATAATTTGAACATGTACTTTTAAAAATTTAGGCTCTTAGGGCTCAAAAGTTATTTGGATATGAACTTTTAAAATGCGGGTCCTTAGGGTTTGAAAATATTTTAACCCAAATTCCAAATATTTTTGAAATTAGGCTTTTAGGGTATAAAAAACATATTAGACATAAGGCTTTTGAATATCGAAAATTTGTCACTTAATTCGAATACATCTGCCAGTGAACAGTAAACAGTCCCTCTTAAAGCCAAAAGGTGTAACCTTGCATGCACTTTAATTAGATAATACCTATTTAAAGGTTTATAGTTTCAAATGGCTTTAAAATATTCAAAATCTATTCAAACTTCATTGGTATTCCTTAAGTCAAATGACATGTCTTGGAATCTTGACGAGTAATTTTAAAGCTTATGTAAATAATAAGT